ACTGAAAACAAGTCTTTGCAAGTATTCGCAGATAACTCAGCCCCAAAGCCCATTAGTGCCAGCGTGTAGGTGGGTTATGTTTATAGTTCAGTATGTATCCGTAAATTTAACATGATCTTTTGAAAAGTGACTCACATAGGCTGTTTTTATTTTTGAAGTCATGTTTTTTGACTGGAGTCACCATTTGAAACTCACTTAAACTTTCTCAAGCAGAATACTCTCAAATACTAACTACTGTGTTAAAAATATCGTGGCTTTCAAGATAAATATAATTGCCAGTATCTAACAGTGAGTTTCAAATCCGCATGTACAGGATTAAGTCATAATTAAGAAAGTCTCTCTTGCTGAGCGAAGTCTCAGTTAAATACAGTAAAAAAATACATGCAACGTATTGATTGATCTAACAGTACTAACATTTTAAGTACTTTAAAATGCTTAGGTTACTAATTTACAGAAGGAATGGGAATATTTCTTTCTGTAATGTGAAACCGCAGATAGAATTGCACCTCTCCGGGGGAATGGACTCAGTGCGCATGCACACGCTTTTTCCCCCGGTAGTGGGATCACCAACTTCATTACTGCGCTACTACCATAGACATGATCTCTTACAATATATTTTTTAATACACTGAACAAAAGGAGGGATTGGACCTAATGCCATTTTTTCCCATTTCTTTTTTCCATTATTCTAAAATTATTTAGATTTTTTAAAGCACTTTTACCCTGGAACTCTTGAGTAAGCTTCTGCAATCAGACTAAATTTAGAAAATAATAGTTTTAACTTATTTTCAATTGTAGTTGACATATAGTATTTTATATTAGTGTCAGGTTTATAACACAGCAGAAAACACTATTTTTTAAATTAAACAAGTGTTGGGCATCCCATGGCGAGTTCACTGTTAGCACAAAGTGCATTATATGCAGTAAGCATTTTCCAAGCTCCACTGATGTACATGACATTGAGCTGTTAATTGACGAGAACCTATGAGCAGCACAGTTGAATAGGGAGGCCACGAACAACAGCGTGGAGACTGTGGGTCGGACTGCCGGGCTTTGATTCCTAGCTTTGCTGTTGCCTAGCAGCACGACCTGGGCGAGTCATTGAATTTCTCTAAGCCTTACCTTCAAAATGTGGTAAAAATATCTTTCAAGGTTGTGGAGAGAAAAAGATGAGGTTACATAGGCTTGGAATTTAGTGTGTTGTCTATTGTAAATGCTCGATGAACATGAATTGGGAGGGAGAGAGATTGATTGTATTGTGTGTGTGTGTGTTAGAGAGAGAGAGAGAGAGAGAGAGAGAGAGAGAGAGAGAGAGGGAGAGATTACATTGTACTTTCCAGCAAGGAGCTTACAATCTATTGGGTGATACAGGAAACACATACACTGGTAAAACTGTAAGTCATTATATAATAACTTATCTGAGACAGAGAGAGAGATACAATAACCTCAGCAGGGGTTTGGAGGAGGGAGGAGTTAGTGTGAGATGGACATGCTGATCATGGAAGGAACAGAGGCAGGTCTTAATGAGACCCTGAAGAAAATTTGGGGACAGACAGACGAGAGGAACAGGAAAAGGTGTGCTGAAATGGAACGATAGTAGATCCAAAAAGGGGGCTTGTGAGAAGTACTTTATTGTTCACTGAAGAAATAAAGCATGGCCTGGCCCAGTTCGTGTGTGGACGGAGTGGTGATGAGATGCATCAGTGGGCAGACTGAGGTTATGGAGGTCCCTGGGTGCCACCTTGGTAAACGACAAGGAACAACTCAGGATTTTTGAAGTTGGAAGTGAGTAGGGGTTGGGAAGATGAAGATGTGTAGCACAATGAAAACAGTGTAGGAAAAGGTGTGTTTTAAAAAAAGTGTGGAGAATAAGAGGTCAGTTAGGAGTACCTTTCTACGTTTGTAGTTTGGGCTACTCTAATTACCCTCCAAAATTGCAAAACTATGATAAGGATCAGGACTGAATAGATAAATGGTAAAGGAGAGAAAGTAAAAGAGCTCACAGTGATTCCAAAGCTTGGGAGAGGAAGAAGTGGTGGGAACAGTGAGGTTGGTGGGGGATGACAGTTGAGGAATGAGAGGTTTTCAGGTTAAAAAGAAAGCAATACCTTTTTTGTTGCCCTTGCTTTCGTGCTATACACGCTTCTAGTGAAGAAAACAATACCAGCAGCAACAACAAACCATGGAAGTATACACAGTAGAAAAATGAAATTTCCTTCTCTCGCCCTGGCCAGCTAGCTCAGTTGGCTGGGGCATCCACCCGACACACCAAGGCTGCGGGTTCGATCCCTGGCAAGGACACGTACAGGAAACAGCCAATGAAGGCATAGAGAAGTGGAGCAACAAAGCGATTTCTCTCTCTCTCCCCACCACCCATCCTCTCTGTCTAAAATAAACAAATAAAAATAAAAAAAAGAAAGAAAAAGAAAGTTCCCTTTTCTTGGAGTAACTACTGTGACAGTTTGCATAGCTTTTCCAGGCTGGTTTCTAAGTGCTTAACAACTTAACAGAAAAACAGTAGAACACTAGTGTGCATATTTCTCCTCAACTCAGTTTTTCCCTTATACAGCTATTTTTCCATTGTAAGGGAATACTATAATTGCATTTACACACGCACATACTGATAGACACAAACTATCCCAACTTTTGCTAGTACAAGCATCCTTAGTGAGCAGTCCTCTGTCTCTCTTTGGATGTTGTCTCACTGTTTATGCATGTGTGTGTGAGAGAGAGAGAAACTGCTGGGTCAAAGTGTATATACATTTCAGTTTTTCCTTGCTTCTGGCAAATTGCCCACCAAAGAGGTACAGTCATTCACGCTCCCACCATCAGTGTGTGACTCTGTTGCCCACATCATGGCTGACCCTGACTATTAGAAATCTTATTAATTGGACAATCCATTACACAAAAGATATTTTGTTTTAATTTGTCTTTCTTTGATGATCAGGAAGGAGACGGACATAATTTCATAGGGTTTGTTAGTCATTTTAACTTTTCCCCCTGAGGTTATTTCAGTTTTGAACTTTTAAAGGTTTGACAGGCGATGGAAGGTCCTCATGTAGATGTCATGGAGGCCATCAGACACGTGGTACGGAAGTCTCGGCGGGAGAATTACAGTGGGGCAGCGACAGTTGAAAAGAGAAGGCCGTGCGAGTTCCCCCTGTGATCACAAAAGGAAGAGGTTACGAGGCCCTCAGGAAACAGTTCGGAAGGAGGAAAAGGAGAGTGAGAGAAGCCAGCCGTTGTAGGGATGGAAGTAGAGTCAAGGTTGTGCTCCGTCGTGCTGACTGGTCACGGGGTTTCAGGTAAATCTGGAATCTCTGAGCCTTAGTTTCCTCCTTCGTAAAATGAAAGGTTGGAAAAGATGACTCTTAAATTATAAAACTCAATGTCTCTTTAATTTCAACCCAAGACATGAGACAATTCCATGGGAGTAGTCGGCAATTTTAGGAAGCACCTGGGATCTGGCCGTAGGGCGGCTCTTTAAAGTGATTATGGTGTTACAGGCTATGGATTACTTCTGCTGCGGCTGCGGCTGCGGCTGTTTTGAAATTCTAACATGTAAACGATGCTTCTATAATTTCAAATGTATAGAAAAGTTACCAAGTACCCTTTACCCAGAGTACCCTACTGTTAACATTTTACTTGTTTTATTAGTTTTTGTTTTCTCTTTTCTCTTTCCCCAACTCTATCTCTATGTAAGTACATACATTATTCTTTCTCAACCACATGTACACCCTAGTCCTTTACTCTGACTGCTGCAGTATTTAGGTGCATAACCACAGCACAGTTGCCAATTTCAGTAATTTTAACACTGAGACAATACTTTTTCCATCTGTTTTCCAACAACGTGCTTTATAGAATCCACCTCCCCACTGCCACCAACAAAGGACGCAGTTTAGTCTCTCATGTCACCTTTAGCCTTTCATTAAGTGTGGAAAGCAATGCCTGAAATTTTTATAAGTGGGATGCAAAGAGAATTCACTCACCTAGTAAACTCAATGATTCAAAATAAAGGAAAGTAGGCAAATGGCCCTTATACAAAGTAAATGCCACCCATCTCAGAGTTGTTTCAGCATTTCCTGAGGTTCTTTACTCTTATTTTATACATATGTAGATACATTTTAAAACATCGGCCACTTGGCTCCCCAGGCTGACGTGCTAAGACAATTCAAAGGGAGGTATGCGTGCACGCAGGCAGTGCTGTGACAGAGGCGCAGCGACTCGAAGAAGGGCTGGCAGGAAGGTCGATGACGGGGACCGTCCGCATCAGTTACAGCTCAGCGAATGTAGCGTGAAGGTACTAGGTACTTACCTGCAAGCTCCCGTGGACACCTTGATATCACAGCTTTTGTTTTGAAGACACTTCTGGGGTATTAGTGGATTTGGGGTATGCTACTTTGCCTACATTTTAAATTAGAACATAAAACTGAGAAATTGTTCTCAAAATGCCTTGCCAATATATGCGTATATATTTGAAAAAAGAAAGGTTAGAGAAATAATAGGGGTATACATTATTACTGAAATTTTGTCAGTTGTAATAGAATGAATTAGGTGTTACTGAATAATGCTCTTCCTTACCATGCCAGTTTGAGTTTGTTTTGACAGCTGTAAGGGGATGATGAGCTGTGCTTTGCAGTGGTGGTCTCTTGATTTCAAAACTGCTTGTTCCCTGTCAAAATTAGTTCCTTGGCTTACCCCTTGGAAATGATTTTGATGGATAGTAATAAAACTGCTACATAATGGTGATTCCTCAGAACTGACTTTTCAGCATATTGAATTCTCATTGATTCTATTTTATATAATGGCATTTCTATTTTATACATTAGTACTTTTTGTTTTACTCTAAGACTGCGTATTTTGTTTGTCTCTTGGCAAAAGCAAATGAAATACATAAAGCAACTCACAGAATTTACCTGTAATAAAAGATGCTAAGGAAAAAATGCTGCTGGTCCTCTTTAATTATAAAAAGCTATTATTTTATTTGTATATCAATGAATGGGAAGGAACATTGACTTTCTAAAGTAATTTCCAAACTATGCCAAAAAAGGACACCCAGAATGAGCTTTTTCCTGTATTTTTAACACAAAATTATTAATTTTACCACATTCATAAATTGGAACTTAACACAATGCTAAAGGTTAGTAGAAGTATTATTTTACAGGTTATCAACATGAGAAACAGACCTTGAGTAATTATTCCAAACTTAGAAATCCAGTATGTATAAGAATTCAGTGTATCCATGGCCTAGCTTCCTGAGTCACGTGGCTTTTTCTCTTCGGAGTCCAAATGAAACTTCACTGCCCTTACAGTAAACTGAAAATTATCGGCAGAGGGAGGAACATAAGCTCATTTGCTTTTAGGAAACCCCAATTCACGTGTAAAGTAACTGTAAGACATTTATACAAAATAGAATTCCCTTTTGTTCCTCAGTTTTCCTATTTTTTTAAGAGCAGCAATAATGAGGCATACTCAAGAAACAGCCCATTATAATTGTATATAAATATACGTATAATTATTATTGCTGGCACATAGCCAACCACCTTTTCCTTAACCTCTTACTAACACTTAGGGGAAAAAAAACCCTAATCATGTACCCAACTTGATAACCAGAAGAGTTTTTCCTCCAAGTGCTAATTCTTTTTGCCCATTGTTTCTTCAGGACTTGAAGCATTGACATTTATGGGAAAACGTCTGTATACATAATACATTCCTCCCCCCCCCCTTTTTTTTACCAACTGTCTCTTTTCCTTTTTTTGTTTTTTCAGACTATTCTCATTTGAAAGATGTTTGTTTTCTTTTCCTTCTTTTTGTTTCTCTACTTCTCCCAGTGATTTCATCCTGCTTCTTTTAAAGGCTTTCTTTAAAAATAAAATGCAATAAAAATGAAAAACTATGAACTTTGCCTTTCCATGTTTTTTCCTTTTCTTTTTTAACTTATCTTGGGTGGGTAGGTGGGGGGGCGGTTAAAGAAACAATCCTCTTTGAGAGAAGGGGGTTGACAGACATTCCAGCTGCCCCAAGGAAAGGGCTAGGACAGGAGGCAGTCAAAAGAGGACATAATAGCACTCTGCAATACACAAGTCCAATCAGTTCTGTTTAATGGTTACTAAAGAGAAGAAAGAAACCAAGTGGGAACAATTGTGGTCCTTTCATGTTTTATACCCAACGCTAGCACACGGTATTCCTTCCACATGCGACTGCACAGGTCATCAAATCATCACCCATGTACAAATGGTCTAATGACAGCCTATACAAAGGTGGCTCACCCATGCATTTATAGTCGCTCGGCATCAAACGGTGCTAATTTTAAGTAGGCCACCCCATGTAGTGCACCCTCCAAAACAACACCCTTCCACCATTTATACCAAATCTGTTCCTTTTTCATTCGCAGGAAATATTTAGTATTTCAGAATCTCATTCGTGCATTGAAGTGAAAATACTGTTCACCTGCAACTCAGCAGTCTGAGACCCAGGTGTTGCCAGATTTCTGTCATTTGTTCATTAAGCCCAGGGCTGTAGCTTGCACGACACTTACAAAGGCCTTCTTCTAACACTTTCCGCCGAATCTTGGTGTGTGAGAGTACTGATCACCATAATTTATGATCCTACGGCAGTGGGGTGGCTCTTCACTCTCGGAACCCCCTCACTGGGCCGCAGCGACTTCTAAAAACACCGCTTGCGCGGGCAGGACATGAGATGCGGGAGCGGAGGGTTTCCAGACTTTGTTCTCTGGCCTTGAAGGTGAGGTGCAGGAGCCGAAGCCGACAGGCGGCACAGTGGATTTCACTGCGGAGGGCCGGTGCGGGAGGGGGGCCCCACCTGCCTGCCTTCCGATCCCCTCCCCGCCTCCAAGTTTGGCTGGTAGCGGCCCCACCCACCAGTGGGCGCCGGCCGAGGGGCTGCGGCGCGCGCGGAGGCCGCGGGCGCCGAGCGGCCGTTGGGCTCCGCGGGCCGGTAGCGCGGCTGGCGGGGGCGCGCGCGGGGAAAGACCCCGCGGGCCGCGGCTCACGGGGCGGGCGCGAGCGTGCTCCGTTGGTGAGCGAGCGCGGCTGGGCCCCGCCCGCTCGGCGCGCGTCCCCGCAGGTCTGCTCTCCTCCCCCAGCCCGGGGCGGACGGGGTGGATCCAGCTCACTCCCCTCCCCCGAGTGCCGCGGCGGCGGCAGGCGCTAAATGAGAGACGCTGACTGCTCGGGTCGCCGGGCGCTAGCCTAGGCGGCGGTGGCGGCGGAGCGTGACGCCGGCGGGTCTTCCCATCCTCCGAGGCGACGGCCGCGGCTGCACAGGTCGGTGCTCTGGACGCGGGGCCGGTGCGGAGTCTCGGCGGGCGGTGCAGGGGAGGGAAAGTGGGTGCGCGGCGCCCCCACGGTGGAGTTGAGCCGTAGCGGCGGCGGCGCGGTGAATGGCGGCGGCTGCGCGGGTTGAACTCCCGGCTGCGGCCGCGGGCTGCTCGTCCTCGGCGCGGGGAGGGGGCGGCGGGGCTCCGGCTGAGGGAGGAAGGAGTCGGGGGCTCGGGGCCGCACCTCTCTCGGCGGCTCGCTCTCGGAGTCAGGAGGCGGCTGTGGGGTCCCCGCGCCGGTTCTCCGTCCCGGCGCCGGGGTCGCGGCGAGCCCCCGAGTCCGTCTCGCCCGGTTCTTGCTCCGGGGTGGCCGAAGCCCCCGGCGCCCGGCAGCGCCCCCGCCTCCCTCCAGGTGAGCCGGCGCGGGGATCGCGGAGCGGGCCACACCCCCTCCCCGGCTCCGGCCGCTGCGTCCCCAAAGCCCCGTCGCGGAGCCGGCTGCCTGCGAAGCGCGCAGTGGCCGTCAGGGTGACCTGTTGCGGAGCGGCCCGCAGCCTGAGTCGCCCTGCAGCCTCGGACCGGGAGAGGCGGGTGCCGCGCCGGCCTCCGGCCGGGCGCGCGGCGGAGTGTGGGGTGCGGGGCCGGGGCCGCTGCCGGAGGTCCGGGGACTGCACTACTCGGAGCCGGCGGATTGAAAGGAGGAGGTTCCGGACAGCTCAGATCAAACACTCGCAAAGCCAGGCTGTCTGTCTGCAAATATCCGGAATTCCATTGCAGTATCGGATTAGCTAGGCGCATAAACACCGTGCTCTAGAGGTGATTTGGGAGCAACTCGAGCCCCGAGTGAGGCGCTCCTATCTGCAAAAGAGCCGTAAACCTGTGCGGTGCTGAATTATCTCCCCAGCAGCCCCCCTCGACTCTTTTCCTGTAGCCGTGTGTTGTGTAGACGCAGGCCAGTTTCAGTGTACGTGGGCGTGTTTGGGAAGAAGCTGCGAGCTGATAGGAGGCACCTTGTACAAATGTTAATTTGTTTGAACTGGGAGGGGTGAGGGAGGAGGAAGAGAGGGCACTGATGTTAGCTGTGGAGGAGGGGCGATGGCTACGCGAAATTTCTGTTCGAGAAAGCGCCAAAAAGAAGTGTCTAATACCCAGTGTTTCAGACCATAAAGTAGGAAACCCAGGCAGCAGTTAATTGAGCTTTATCTTTCATGTGCCCAGGGTTTTTAAAGTGCGACGCTGTAATTGCTGTAGAGAGCCCTTGTTTTCGAACCGGTGTTTTTATGAGTTCACTGGGGTGTTTTTCGGCGTTCACCCTCAGATCCACTCTTGTTCAAGTGAGTCTCTTTGGAGATGACCATCAGAGTTTGGGAAACTTTTTGACCCTTGCAAACATAGTATTGCAGTCACAGGTCGTCGTACCTTGCCGTTCACAAAAGCCTGTTTCACCCCGATCACTGTGCGTCTACAGGTGCTGTAGAATCATACATACAGTGTTGATTACTGGTCCTGCTGAATGTCTTACTGTAGACTTTTAAGATTACAAACCTATCCAAACAGTATTATTTTAATAAAAATAACCTTTAACTCAAGTTTTGTAGGCATGAAGTTTATCACCAAGCTTCCAAGATTTGGAAAATAACTTGTCTCTTTAGCTTAAAGATCAAATATAAGGACATTAAGTGGTTTTTTTGAATAATTTCAATGTAATTATTTTAAGCAGTTTATTTTCTTTTTTTAATAAGTATATTTTTGAAGTAGTAAGATCTACCTTATTTTTCCATTTTATTCCACCTTTCTTTGAATTAAGGAGTTTGGCTTTCAAAATACTCTTGGTGGACTCTGGAAATATTGTTGACTCTGCCTAAATTATTCAGGATTGCAATAGAACTTTAAAGATGTGCTTGCATTATCAAAATTGCAACATGCTTTATTATCAGAAAGAACACACCAAAATTTCCTGAGCAAAAATACAACTGAAGAACTGGCTTTGCGAATCTTCTGTGTGCTTCTGTTATACATGTGAGTGGTTGAGTGATGTGTTTGTGTGTTTTACTATCCAGCACAGCACTTCTTCAGCTTCTTACGTCATCACAGCTGAGAGAGTAGCTGTTTGTAGTGAATGATGGAGATGTAGGTGAAATTGTTCTGTTGCAACTTCAAACATTTAAGCTTTTGTCCAGAGGCCCAGTCCTTTCTTTGGTTCGTTGGTTCATTCATTCATTGGCTCGTTCATTGGTTGATTCACTCATTGGACCATTGGACGCATGTTTATTGAGTACCTACTTGGTCCTAGATGTTGGGGATATAAAGAAAAAGGTCTGTGTCCTGCCTGGTGGAGCTTAAAGGGCAAATGGGCAAATAGTCGACTACTTCATTGTCAGATAACACTGTTGAATGTTAGTTTAAGAAGTAAAGTCTCCTCTGATGAGTTTTTATTTTTTAATTTTTTTTATCCTCACCCAATGACATTTTTTCCCCCATTGCTTTTAGAGAGAGAGAGAAAGGGATAGGTAAAATCATCGGTGCAAGAGAGAAGCATCGATGGATTGCCTACCATAGGCTCATACAGGGAATCGGTGCCCCCAAGTTGAGTAGGTGCCCTGACTGGGAATCGAACGTACAACCTTTTGGTTACAGGATGATGCTCCCACCAACTGAGAGCCACACTGGCCAGGACACTGATGAGTTTGTTTGCTTAAGGGTAGTATTTGTGTTTTTTCGTTCTAAGAATAGTAGAAATTATTACTGAGTGAACAAAAGCAGTGAGACAGTTTTTAAAATATGCTGATGTTTATGTACATTGGGTGTCTGGTTCCCAACTAAATCAAAATAAACATTCGGCCTGAAGTCAGGTGACACAGAGTTTACATGTGGTTCAACAGCTTTATTCTTTTGGTTTATTTAAGTGAAATGTCTGCTAAAAATGTTTTCTCTTGGTGCGTGTTTATAAGGGAGTTTAATTTTTTTTATGTATATTTTTTAAGAATCTTTTTTTGGCTGTGTGTGTGAGTGGACCAATGTCCTACTGTTCCTCCTTACAGTCTGATAACCATAATTAATAGCAAAAATCAAAAAGTTGGACTGCAAGTGATCAGATTCCTTTTTGATTAAAATGTGACAAATAGTGGTACTGGTTTTTTGTTTTGTTTTGTTTTACACAGATTACATAATTTTCCCATATAGTATTGGCACTGAAGTATTTTGGTATTTTCGCTGACAGGGCCCTAGATAGGCGTTATCATTTCCATTCCAGACGAGGAAGCGTACTTGGAGATGGGAGCGCACTGGTGGCTGATGAGCAGCAGAGAGCCCAGACTTGAGTTTTAGTTTAGCCCCTGCTGTGTGAGCGCAGTGGGTCCAAGAGTGGAATGGCACATGGCACAGCTGCTGGGCTGCGCTTCCAGAAACCTCTAAATAACGTTTGGACTTGAAACTCAATTATTAATTGAAATGTAGTTCACTGAATTTTTCTTTGTGTGAGTCAGACTTTCAGACCTATTTAAATCTAAAAGTGCTGTCTTTTTCCTGCATAAAAAGGAGAGTTTGAATTTACTTTGAATGGTATAAGTGTTTTGAAAATAAGTGTTAGAATCAACTCTGCTTTTTGAGTGATGGTTTTCTTGTGCAGTGGCTGTCTTGGCATAAATTTGTTGCTTCAACCTGAATACATTTCATAAGTCACTTAATTTTCAGTGAAAAGATAATTCACATAGCTTGAAACTCTACCCCCTCCTGAGTGTGAGGGTCCTTAGGGAGTAAAGTGGATGTATTGCATTACCCTATAAATTGTTTCTTTAAGTGTGTGTTATTCCCATTGGTTTACGGTCCCTCTTCAGTGAGCAATTGAGGGTTGGATATGATATATTTTGGTAAGTTTGGAATTAATCTGGAATCTTTGTTGATCAATGTCTTGAGCCTTTGATTGAGGAAAACTTAGGAATAAAACACCAGAATTTGACATCTACCTATTCTATGGAAAGAAGACAGTTTGAGTGTAAATTCACTCAGTCACATTCATAAGTAATGGCTAGTTAAGGACATAGGAAGAGTATAAATCAGTGTTCATTTAACTTAGGTCGCAGGCGCCCGGCAATTTATGTCTGCCACCACGGAGCACCTTTGGTACCGCCTCTTGAATGATACATTGCTTTGGAGTGTGAGAGGCTTAAAAAGAAGCTCTCACCTTGAACTTAATAGATACCCTTCTGTAATTTTACTTACTTAACCTTTTCTCAAAACAGATTTCCTTTTTAGGTTGATTTTTCCTTTTCGCTGATTCTTGGGAGAGCCCTTTTCTGAGAACTGTACCTGAATAGCATCCCAGTCACACTTGACCCTTATCTGTATTTTTTTTTTCACATCAATTCATCTGACAACATGGCATACGATAATTTGTTTATTATCTGCTTCCCCCTGGGTGTAAGCTTCATGAAGGCAAGGGCTGAATTTTATTCACTGTCGCGTTCCTAGCACATAGAAAAGCACCTGGCACCATAGTCAATAATATTCGTGGGGTGAGGGAGATCATTTGTATTAAAGGATCCGAAAACCACTAGTTTTGTTTTAATAACACTTTTGGTTTTGACTTTAAATAGTACACCTGTGCAGGTAAAAGGACCATTATGTGGCAGGATGTAGGGTGAAAAACGCCAGCCCCTCACCTCATTGTCGTGTCACTTCCCCTGCCGGGGCCTGCTCTCAGAGCACCCGTCCTCGTGGTTCTCGCTGTTTTCTCCTGGTACTGACTTGCATATTTTAAAACATTTATTTGTCAATCTTCAATAGTATTGGTTGGCCTCCTGCTGTGGGAGATGAGTCTGTGCTGTGAGTCTATGCTACCTTGGACTTCCCCTCCCCTTGTCTCCCAGTATGGTTCAAGCATGCTTTTGGTTAAATCTTTGTTAAGTCACTAATGTGGCTTCGTACATGTGTTCAGCATTGAACCTTTCAATGTACTATAATTAAATCTCCCGGAGTTAAATTTTTTTCTTCATTTTTGTTTTTTGT